GGTCAGCTTTGCGGTTGGTTAGAATTTTGCATCATACTTCGAACCGTTAACTGATTCGTATTTTTCATGCTAAGTAACTACGACTGTTTTTGCAGTGTTGTGGTTCCGAAGTTGTATTATTTTCTCTACCGAGTAATAGCTTCTGGATTACTACCAACCTGTGTGAGTCGGTTGATCGTCGCTGCACCGTAATGTATTCTGTTTTTTTTCGCGATCGACCAAAACGATACAACGAAGCGCAATTAGTTTTTGCTCTCTCAGTGCCGTTTTTAGATGTTAGCTGTTGGATCTGAGTGATATTCAGAAGACACGAATTTACTGTGATCGAACTTCCAGTTCGCTGGAAAAAAGTGCATTTTTCGAACAGCGTGTGAAAGCTTGTCAGCAATCCACTTTGGCCGCGCCCTGCTGATGAAATTTGACGAACTCGCCCCAAAGCAGTCTGCCTTTCAGTTACGTCTTTCTTTTGTTTCGTGCAACAAGCCGGTTGGTTAACTGCAAATAAATGATTGTGAATGTTCTGTATTTTTATGTGCATATGTGTAAATTGTACATGATACACCAAAGATGTGATAAATTCTTTCGTTAAGACGTACGTTATTGTCTTCACAGTCGTAATGTTATGACATTACCACATCGGAAACCAGGCAAAGTTCGTTTCTTGTTGAAATAAGTGCCAAGCTTATCTATTTGATAACAGCTTCAATTAATTAGTAGATGCTGTAGCCACAGTCAATACGTGTAAGACTTGATTAATCAAGTTGCTATTATGTACATTCTGTTTCGTTCAATAGTTCGATTAAAAATTTTTAATCGCTCGTTCTTGGTTAATTTCTATCTGCCTTTATACAGGATCATGTTGCACTGCATCCTTCACCACCCCAATTTTTTACTGCACGTCCGGTTGCTCGTAATGAGGACCAGGCCTTGAACTGAAAGGGAAGAAACATGAACAAGCCAACTTAAGATGATGTTTGGTAAACGTTCAACGTACAGTTTGAAAATGAGGTCTCCACGAAATTTCAGTATACCCAGCCTCTTCGAAATTAATTTCAAAGAATAGCCTGTTAATAACTTATAGAATTTTTATGTAAAGTACCCTTTACAAAAAAATGTGCAGTAATGAGCATATCCACAATGCAATTTGTTAATATCTGTCAAACAAAACGTAAATTTTTGAACTATGAGAATTACATCAACCTAGCTAAGATTTAACAGCAAACTGTTTCCCTAGGACTGACAGAAATTGCAATTCACGAAAGGAATTAAGTTTTTGGTTAATGCTTGTGATACTCTCTGAGACAGACAACCACACATTCTTTAATTTACCTTTCGTCATTTAATGATCAGGGTTTTTGCTTCTTACCAATTTACCTTCAGCGCTTACATTACGAAGAGACATTAATTACCAGAGAATTGCAAGAGGATTAAAATATATTCTAAGTGTACATTCAAGAACTCATTAGCAGCGTTTAATTCTGAAAAAAATTATCATTCTTCAGAACCAGTTGTTGATGCCTATATTAGCATTTAATTTGTAAACCACTCAACATTTAACAAGCAGCACTGGCTTTGATTACGTTGTTCCATCAACTCTAAAATTTAATCGATTTCTCGATCCTTCACCATGCGTAGCCATTTAATCTTTGCTGTGACGTGTGCGTTTGTTGCATTATAGATTTTACGTTTTCCACAAACCCAGCTTCGACCCAAAATTTTGGAGGGCGGATACCAACTTAATGATAGAATCGCATGTAACAGTAAAGTACGGTAAATCATTTGCATTAATCGAGAAAACCTATTATAAAAGTTTAGCCAATCAGATTAAGGGCTTATGTTCATGCCTTCTACCGACTATTACCGTTTAATGAGACACTGGGTAACTGTAATGGCACATCTGTTTATCAGAAAAACAAGACACTCCATTTACAAACCTTGCACTAAAGGAATTTAGCATAAAGACCCCTTAAGAATGCAAAACTACGTTCATAGGGTCTACCTGCTGATCGACGACGCTTCGATGACTAAACGAACTATAAATCTGACATGTGTGGCTGAGATAAACACGAAAACAACGTGCCCAAAATATTCTGCATTTATTTAACAACGATATTTCCGCTATTACGAAATATTGAGGTCGCTTATCTCTGTAGGATTTTGCGACGTTAATGCCAATCGCGAATCAGACTGAGCGAAGAGACTATTAGTGCATAAAACTGCCAAACGATGATTCAGAACGATCATCGTTTACACTCAGACAAAATGTCACAGTTCGCAAGTTTTATGATTATACTGCAGCCGTGAAACCTTTGCTTCAACTATTTTACTGTTCCATCTATTTCAAATGATATGGTTACCTTCGAAGTCAAGAATGATCGAGACTGACTGTTCATAGAATTTGTTCCGCAGTAAGTATATGTACAAAAATACCGAACTATTTCCAAAATTTTGATTTATCCAGTTGTCTGAATCAAATGAACTCAACAGCTGCAGAACCTGCCTAAACAGAACCCTGATCTTATGTCTGGATCACCCGTTCAATAAGAAGACAATGAAAAGTCCTAATTTCACACAAAACCTAGGAGCGACGAATACTGAAAGCTATTATAGCAAAGAATATTTGCTACTCACTTTAAGGCAAACGCTTGATACAACAATTTTATTTTCCGTTTCAGAAGTTTCAAAGATCAAATAATCCACCCATGCCGACATCTTCGTCTGATTCTTCTTTTTCTGCTTCCTTGACTTTATCTGCAGCATTGCCTTCCTCTGATTCAGGCTCGGGTGCAGCTTCTGCAGAGGCAGTTGGTAAAACCGCTGCCGCAAATTTACTTGGATCCGCCAGGTACTCTTTAACCTAACATCAATACATTAAAGGTACGAAATTCGATAAAGACAAACTCTTAGCACTACTGCAATCGTAAATGATTAAATCATAACAAACGATTGAGCAAACCTGCTTAACAAAATGATACGAAGGCAAGTAGTCAATAAGTTCTAAATGGGTGTGCAAACAACGCACTGCTGATCTCAGTGGTACAAGCCACTACAGAACGGAACACTTCAAATTTCATCCCTTCACCAATTCGTGAATAAACCTAACTTACGAAAACTGTCCTCCAAGTAATCGCAGTAAACAGTCGAGCGGGAATACAAATACACCATTCGCATCGAATCGATTTCGCTATTTATAGCATGAGCAAATGTGGTTAAATAAGCAAATTAATAATATTCTGAATATTACAACTGACTTCAAATCATTTAGCACTATGGGAAATTCATTACCGCTCAGTCGAATTCACAGAACTGTTATACAAGAGGTTCTTACTCTCATGCAAACACCGAATTGGATGGCTGGAAACGGATGACTTTATGATTATCGGGTTAACAACATAAAAGACCATAAAAATTTTAATGCATTAAATATCAAGCGTTTCTGTCAAACTAGCATCGACGCTCATCGGCAATACGATATATCGATGAAAATCGACGCCCATTCAGTCGAAACACTGGATATGCGTTAAACTTTTGTCATTCCTGTCGCTAACCACGGAGTCAAAACCGTTCCAAATTACGGATTTCAAATTTAAACTGTAACATTAGCAATGGTAAAATGAAGGTAAATATTTTTCTCTAGGCACTGTGATATAGCCAGAACAAGCACGCAGGCATTTACGTGTGCCAAGGTTTGTCCCACGAAATTCCATAACTAAACAATAGCGGCGTTAAAACTATGGTTTATATCGTGTCACTTGAGCATCAATTCTTTTGCGCTATTTCAGCTTATACGAAATAAATATCGAAAAAATATCTACATATTCGAAATAATAATATTACACATGAAGTCAAAAGCTGGAAAGCTAGAAAACTGCAGTAAGCTGTGAGTTGCGCGAAGGATTATATTATTTGCATTCAAAAAAATACCAAACAAGGCGCATAGCAACAGATAAAAATAATTCTATTTACTTTCTCCGCTTCCTTAAATGAGATATCGGCTGCTATTGCAATAGAAAGTAGATTTTTAAATCCTTTCGCGATAATATGCGGTACGCTAACAATAGTTGGATAATCAATAGCAATACATAGGCTGGCCATGTGTTCAAGACCCTAAAAGCAAATATCATGATCGGTTCATGTAAAATTGATTCTCCCAACAATTACCATAAAGAACTTGTTTCGCATATCGTCTGGCGTTATATCCAACACAGACGGATGAAAAACTGAGCCCGAATCGTAGACTGAAACAGATTTAATGGCATCATATTTTAAATATCCTCGCACATCCTTCTACAAGCAACAAACAGTTCTTCAACTTGACTACGGCTTCCGAATTACAGCAAGTAATGTTAGCAAAGATGATATCAATCCTGAATCGCTTGTTTTAAGCTCAAAGCGCCTGCAAGCATCACATTAAAATCTCTACATTAGAAAAAACCAACTGCGCACTGTTTTCAACACCTGTGGTTTCTTCGGTTTAGTTTATTTATTTACCGTGATCTGTTGTACCATAGTTTAAACTTAGCCAAACCGCTGACACGTAGTACATGATATTCATTCATCATCCTTTTCAGAGAGTAAAAAATTTAATCAAAACGGCTTTCTTTCAAGCTGATTGTCATAATTATGTCGTAAATATAGCCTTAGATATGCTCATACATACTGGATTAGGTGCAACGACTGAGTTCGTGTAGTTATTAGCAAAACATAAGGTGCCTGAGCATTCGCATGGTTGTCCACCAAGGACATACAGAATACCATGGCAAAGCCTAACACCTGATTTTAGAAAGATGTTCAGTAGGCAATGAAGATGTTTCCATAACCAATAGACAGTACTACAAGAAAGTCGTTAATTGTCAAATCAGACTCGCATCATATTCGGAACTAATACTGTTTGCTTTCATTGCACTTGTTACCTTTATTGTGTGATTGTTCCAAATGTTGTAAGTAAAGAAACGCATCGGTGATCGCGTTTAAAAGATTTTTGCTGTTTGCTTATGCACTGGATGCCATCGGGCTCATATCCTGATGGCCAAGAATCGAGAAGAGTTTCATAAAGTAAAGACATTCAGAAAATATGCAAGAAATTTCATTTCAATACGCATATCTTCACTAACCGCTTTGATGAATGCCGGCTTAGAATAAATGTTAAGGCAAACATCGAAGAACATCACAGACAACAAATACGGCGCAGCTGTCTTTATTTAACAAAGCAAACGCGCCTCAGTCGCAGTCCTTTTTTGCACATACCGGCATTACAATAGTAATGTTGCATCTGTCACCGTCCGTTTTGCAACGACCGCTGGATTTATAACTCCTCAATAATTCTGTTATAAGGCATCGATTACTGCATCACAGAAAGACAAATCTCTCAATGCACATCTGGCTCTATTTCGCTTGTCCATGTTACACCCCGGTTTCGTGGCTAATATCTGGCATATTTCGGCTCTAAAATGATAAGCTCATGGGCAGAAACGAAAGATTTATGGTCTGCCAACTTGTTTAACAAAGCTAACCATCCATTCCAATTCTTCACATTCTTTACTTCCCAGAGGACCCCTGCACGAGGAAGAGACTAACATTCATTATCTAATCCTACCACGTAAGCCTCATTAGGCACCGAAGGGAACTTTGTTCTGCACTTCGCCAACATCGTTATTGATTTTTCGTTGAAAGATCTCCGCCCCGTACAGCAACACTGATCTCACAATGGCAAGACAAACAATTCTGACATAGATCCGCTTCTCCGCCTGGGGTCATAGAGGACCCCTAGATACATACATGTATCAGCGTAAATACTGGAGGAACTACCGAAAGCACTGTCAGCTAGGACAGTTCCCGTTTACTTCTAACTGCTATCGTCACTGGAAATATTGAAAATGAGGTAATTCAACCATGCAGTTTATGGGCCCTGAGAACATGGGCGTATACGGTGAAGACCGGGAGGCAAAGAGGCTAGAGACTTACTGCACATGCTGGCGCTTGAAACCAATTGCGTCAAAGTCAGTCACCTCCGCATTAAACCGGAATACGCGCAAAACCACAAACAGCAATAGGCAACCATAAGTTCCATCAACTTGAGCTTTGGAAATGTGCGCCTATGCAACGAACAGAATCCGTGATATCTCGAAAGACTACCTGCCCTACCGGCAGCATCTAGGGCACACGGAAAATGAACGAACAGAGCAAATATACTTCAGAAGCACTGTGGTACATTAGAAGGCTGTATGTCCGTATGCTTTGTACGTCGCACAAGCCCTTGTACTGTCGACTGCGAAACATTGTGCACAAGCGTACTGCAAAAGTAGCTAGATCCCAATCGTGAATATCGAAGCAAATGCGCACTCCGTATAAGTGAGAGCCTCAAAACAAACCCAATGATACAGCTGGCAGTGCTGGCGGATATCTTACTAAATTCCATTAAGTGAGACGCTGCTACAATGCCAAAATACGAAAGTACAGGCCTGCCAATCTACCAGTAAATCAGTCCAGCGCTACCAATGTGACCGAAATCATGAAAACGTTAATATACTTATAGTTCTTCGCCAATGGCCAACTGGAATGATAAAAACATGAACAGGATTTAATCATGGGTCCATTGTAACGTTCCAAACTCTAGTCCTATTAAAGATCTGACCAAATATGTTAGACCTATGCCTACCCTGATGACAGGCGCCACTAAACCGAAATCTTATAAGACAGTGCATGTGGATAGCTCATCTACAATAAAAATGAAATAGAATGGCTTACCTCGTACACTGTAGAAAACTGCAGTATCTACTATTAGTGGGGTTAAACAAGGGCGATCTATATGGCCACTCATATAGAATGGCTATCAAAAGTGAATGTAGAACTCTAAGGACAGTTGCTCGTTGCTGTGACATACCGATGCAGCAGATTTACCGTAAAAATCAGAACCAGTTATGGATTTTGAGAGCAGATGCTAGTAATATAACTGCAATAATAAACGCTACTACATGTACATAGTTTGAACAACGCTTAACGAACGAAGAGCATACGAAATCCCGTGCCTTTGGAACATAAAATTTCCTGTGGTTCGCCAACTAGACGGCTGCAACAGTAGAGACAATGACAACGGTAAGCGCTGGCATATTTCAAACCGCTAAGGCAAACCGGTACAGAAAAACAAAAGCGCAGTGTGTTAATACAGACGGAACAGAAGAAAGGCAGAAATCGCCTTTTTCCCAATGGCAACACTGGAATACGGGTGATAATATTCAATGAGGGCCTATTATTTGCACAAAGTTTTCGAAGAGAGTTTTTATTATAAACGAGAGTGAATATACACGATTCACAGTCGTCAGTGATAGAGTACAGCCATTTTCAGGATAGAACAGTATCGTTGAAAACATGAGTCAGTCAGTACAACTCAAATTAATTCAGTTTCAGTAGAAAATCAGAAGGTAACATAAAATATACAGGAATTTAAAATAGTACACTTCAGCACAATTTGTTTACATAAAGCAATATATTGTTATATACAATATAAAATTCCGCCGTTGCAGGCCTCAGAACCTCATGATACAAGAGTAAGTTTGGGGATCGTGCCGAGGTCTCCCGTAAAACTCAATCACCTGCCCCTCATGGCACTGCCGCGATCGAAAGTTATAAAGGCCCGGTATTTGACTCGGTTACCAAGAGCCGCACAGGCTGTTGAGGAACTAAGGCAGAATGCAAAAAGTTGGCGATCAAAACCTGCTTCTCGCCTTCTGACAGCTGGGAGGGTAGAAGCACGGTGACAGCTGCTGAACAACAAGGCAGCGAAGATACCAGTCGGCATCGGAGCCATAACCAGCTCAGAACAGATGAAAGGGACAGCGCAATGCCGTTATAACACACCACATAAGGCAGAACAACTCGTCTGTAGATAAAAAGGCAATGGATACTTAAGCAGCTAGTTACTGAAATCACAAAAGCTATAGAAAGCTTTAAAAAAAAGCAAGACGGCTTAAGTCGATGAAATCCGCCTTGAAACGCTTAAAGCATGAGGGCGAACAAAGCATGTAGCTAAAACGCGCCTGTAAAACTGCAGTGGCTATGGGGAAGACACCTGTGATTTTTAGGTGACTCGACTAGATACGGTAATTTTTTGTACCCTTATTCAAAAAGAGAGATCATAAGGGATGCTCTAATGATTGCGGTATTATCGTACCCGATAATGCAGATGTAGATTCCCGCATCACGAAACAACAGACTTAACAGCTAAAACTCTTAAGACACCCTTTTCAAAAGTAAGTGAAAAATTTTATATCAGAGAGGCAGTTACGAAATAAGCGAAAATCAATATTCTATTCATCACCTTTCAGTATGACCAAACCATATGTAAACGGCAAAATGTTCAGCATGTTGAGCAACGCGGCTTCGCTCGCACCGACTTTTTCATTGGCCTTTATTAAATGGACATTACTCTAAATTACGATATGAAAAAATCGTAATAAGACAGTCGCGCTTAACAACGCGACATATGCGGAGTGAAATGCTAAACTCACGCAGGTCATACCAAAATCTCAATGGTTCCTTTCGAAATCTTCGTTGGAATACTCAATGCTTGAAAAAATGAAGTTTTCTCTGGTCCCAATCCAGTGTTTACAGGTTGCAAAATGACGTCAATGGGTGCAATGGTTCCTGCCCTCGCAGGAGCGGCGATCTGAAGCAACCATGTTAAATGCTCATTTTTACTTCTAAAAAACTTACCTTCTTTGAAATAATTTCATTACGAATATCCATTAGATCTTCTTTCGTAAAAACGAAACCTACGTTTCCGACGACGTGAGGCAATAAACTAAAAGGCTTCAGACTGTTAGATTCAAAAGCAGAACAGCATTTAAGTGTAACTTCCACTCATTATACTTAATGAAAGCATCACAAAGTTTTTAGAAAAAAAGCATTTCAAATGGAAACTTTCTGTTTAAATTCTTCTCATACTGTAGCGTATTCATGAAAGACTGACCGAAATTGCATTTCTGTAATGCTTATGAATATTAATGACTGACATTCAATAGGCTACACTTTTTAGTTAAAATGTGATTACAGATTTGAAATTAAAGTAGGAACTGTTGAGGAATAGTTCGTGCAAACTGAATGAAAACGAAAATACCGTATTTTACCATCGATAACGCACGCGTTATCTATACAAAAAGTGTAGTCGACGTTACAAAACAATGTGCGCGTTATGCAATGAAAAACAAAAAATTCCAAATTTTTTCAAGTTACGGTAATTTCAAACTGCGTTTATTACGAAAGTAAATTAGTATGTACATATTGCAACATCAGTGAATATAAGGGTTAATATAACAAAATAAGATAAAAATAAAATGCAAAACATTTAAAGTACATACGTATAACAATGAACTAACTTAAAATCATAGAACTCTTCACCTGAATCAGTATGAAATGAATCAAGAACATTTACAATTTCTTCCGGTACATCATCACAGAATTTGTTTTCTGAAATTAATCATTTATTATCTTCTGTTTCTCGCGTTGTAATATCTAGTACATCGCCTAATGCTTTTAAAAAACCAATTTTACACAAGATACCGTAACACCTTGCCAACTTTTAACGATACTCTTACTTATTTCTTCATATGACACCCCTTTAATCTTTCACGATTTACTTCTTTAATTTTAGTCGTTATCCACTTCTCCCCTGGAACGCAACTTTGACTTAAAAATTTTTTTAACAGATAAATCAAGCGGCCGAATCCTTTTTGTTAATCGACCTGGAATAATAACCAATCGTGAATACTTACCTACTAACCCTTTCACATCATCAGTAATATGGACATGGAAAGAATCTATTATAAATAAGGAATTTGGCTCGAAAAATAGTCCAGACCTCTTTTTCTCCAATCTTTTTCATTATATCTTGATTGACCCATCCCTTCTCATTGGCAGCAATCAAAACGTCTTTCGGAAAGTTTCCTTGGCACTGTGTTTCTCACAAATATAACCAGGAGAGGAAGATTCCCATTTATGGAAGTCACACTTAACACCACAGTAAAATTCGACTTGGCACGTCTGGTCATAGCCACGGAAACTTCTTTCGATTCTTTTAAATTAACAGTGCTTGAACCACGGAGATCAAAGCTAACGGGCACTTCGTCCATATTGCCAAAATGTACAGGATCAACACCACAAATTTTCTTTAACAAAAATCTAAATTTCTTTACCTTCGCTTTTCAGCAACTGGGCAGTTTTTGGTCAAAACTCATGGATAATAAATAAATTGTTCCGTTTCATAAATCTAAAAGCTCATGGATAAGTTTTAAAATTTTTTATTTTTTCCTCTTCGGCGACCACTCTTGTCCTCAGCAAAATACTGGTTGTTGGCACATGTCCTTTAGATCTTCATGAAAGAACCCACTCGAGAAGTGTTTTTTTTCGAGCTCTGGCCAGAAACATTTCCTGTACCTCACTGCACGTTTCTTGTGGTGTAAACATTTTGAAATTTCTTCTTTTACACTCCACGTACACTCGACTCTTCAACGTTACATTTCCGGGCTGCTTCACGATTCCCTTTTCCTTTTGCGAAATTAACGGCTCCAGCTACAACATCACTGTACGTGATTTTCTCAGCACAGTATTTTTTCTCCAGGAGTATTTTTCTCAGTAGCAACTTTCAATTCTAAAAACACATTTGCGAAAAACACGTGTTCAAAGACCAAAAGCAATATGGTGACTCTTGTTAATTCTTCTGTTCGTTTGTTTTAGATACAGCCACAGCCAATCACATTATTCCATTACTCATTTATCCAAAATCTGCTTTCTTCAGACAAGAAATAGACTACACACGCTATTTACACATTTTCCTGAGCGTTAGATATTACAAGGTGCGCAGAATACACAAGGCGCGTTATCGATGGGGAAACATGGTACTTTGTATCTGTTAAAAAGATAAATAATATAGAATAGGCTACAATCTGACGCTGTGTGTTACGGGCCTAATCGTGAACGCAGCAGCCGTTAAGGTAATTATTGCTTGTCTGCGTACTAATTCTTGATCTTCAACATGACGCACTAACCTTATTGCTACATTATTCCATACAGTTACTATAACATTCTATATTGGCCGAACGCCAAAGATTCGAAATGGCTAAACGACAATTAAAATAGCCCTACACATCTTGCCCGACAAATGAATTCATAATATCACTGTCTAACGGCAAAATTTTCGAATACTCTACATCAGACTGGAATATACTCAATACAAATCGTATTCCCACTATCTCAACTGGTAGAACGTTTACAAGGGGTTTTGAAAACAATGAGCTGAGCCTAGAGGCTCTGGCAGATTAAACTATGCTGTGAAAGCTTCAAATATATACCAGGAAAAGTGGAAGAGACTACACTCACCAAGTTGTCTTGCCAGCGTCATGAGTTATGGCCAAATCGTCAAAGATGATATTACAACTTACACCACGGCGCTCCTCATTACAGGGGGCTGAACAAACATAGGCGATGGCAGCAGCAGGTCAGACATTAAGGCAGATGGTGTAGATAATACCCGGGTTATGGAAAAAAGCTATTACAGTTTACTAACGCTGGGTACAAC